TTATTCAGAAAAGAACTCAATGCATAACATCTGTAAAGAAAAAAATTTCAAGACTTTTTTGGCCGCTAATTTTGTGTCTGCATTACGAAAGACACAATCGGTATGCATACATGACGCACTCAATGCTCAAGGGTTTGCAATGCATTATAGGGCGATTTGAAACACGATCAGCCATTTGCAAGTTTTCCGATGTGAGGGAATCCTTTACAGCAAAGCAAAAGGATACAATGCTTTCTTTTCTTATGTTGAATGATATAGAAGCAAAGATCTTTCACTATGTATTTCTGGAAGGGCATAATGACTGAGAAAATAACCGTTATTGTCAACACAGAGAAATGAGTCGCCATTTATGGTAGCCCGTGAACGCAGACATATTTTCGGTTGTCGACTAAACCAGAATTTTTGGTCGCCAAAGATGAAATTTTAGCCGCATTGGCGACCGTACTGGTCGCAACTTTGAGCCTTTTTAACAATTTATATAACCAAATTTTATGGATGGACAATAGGTGTTGGTGACATGTTCGGACATCATGTCCGATCAAAATGTGAAATTGGCCGGACATATTCAAAATTTGATCGGACAATGTCCGATAACCGACTGTTATTTCCAGCCCTGCTGTAGCTCTCAATTACTTCTTTCTGTTTTCTCATGTCTTACTTCCAATCCTGTTTAGAAAAGAGAATATCCTGACGGCACAGTGAAGACAGTTTATCCCGATGGTCGTACTGAGACCCGTTACGCTACGGGACGGATGCGGGTTAAAGATCGGGATGGACGGGTCCTTGTCGATTCATCCGGCCAGAACAGATGACAGTCGCTGCAAATAGGGAGGACAATTCTTACACTGTAAAAAAGGGGTAGATGAAAGAAAGCAAGAAAATGATATAACAAGACAACTCGATGGATTTCCTTATTTTTGTATTGCTCCCAAAGATGAGAAGTAACGGCTTTGGTGAATGCGTGGCCGGTTTTTTGTGATAAGTCTGTAAAAAATAATAATTTATCAAATCTTTCAAGTAAGAAGGGTAAAAAATACGATTTGTCCAGATTGACAATGTGTACATGCATGTGTGAATAAAAGTAATGTGATTTTCAGGCTTTACTTTATACAAAAGCTTGACCAACGAGTTTTGGTAATATTTGAGAGTGTTTTTTCCAAGTGTAAATTTGAAGTCTCTATAAACGTCTGTAGACCCGTAAAACACTGACAAGAGAGATCAGCTATCTAATATATGAGTCACTTAGTTGTTTTATTTAAATAGTTCCTGTAATTACAATACACGGGTTGGAAACTAACTTAACCGTTATTTCCTAACTTGGGCGTATTCTGTTGCCATGGACTTGAGCGTATTGCATTGGATTACAATTGTATAGTTATAGCCTGCTGCTGTTGCCAGACGCAATTTCTAGTGGGATTTTAACACTCGAAATTAAGTAAATTATCTGTTATGGCTATTTCAGAAATATACTATCCTCTGCCTTGCACTGCTCACGCTTCGCGTTCGTCACCAGTAGCTCGAAATTCGGCTCCTCCGCCGCAGAAGTGCGAAACGCCAGAGAAGGAGTCTGATCTATTCCGTTGTCATACAAGTAGCATGGAAACCAATACCACGACTGGAAAAAGGCCACTGTAACACCATGCTGGTATTATGTTATAGCATATTATCAATAGTACTTATAAGAGCCTACGATCTCTAGATCAAGATAAATATGAAATGCCGCTATAGCGACAATGCTTCCAGAAACTTCAGGCAGTATCATAATGCAAATTAGTCAAACTGTCTGTGCCTTGGGCTATTCGCTTTCATTGCTGTATCCTTAATGCTAAGGAAGCATGCTCCGTACATAAAACGCATACCGTCCATATGATCAGTAATGTATATACCGTTGGTTTTACATCAATCCTACACCTTACGAAGTGCACATACAGTCAGACGGGTTCCGCGGTAGGATTTTGGAAGACTTGCTGCAGATGTCCCTTGTAGCTTCGCTGTCCCTTGTGACTTCCTTTGTCTGTACGGCTCCTTTGTTTCTCGCCCCTGCCTTTCTCCTTCCAGCCTCCCACCTCTGCGTGGTTTCCCTGCTGCTCGCTCCTGCCATGTTCCACGTGGCCTCCCACCTCTTCGTGACTTCCCTCTTCTTCGAGATCGCTGCCTGGTGAACTGAAAGGAATGACTGCTCGCAGTCTAGTGGATGGATGGCTGTCCACAGATGTCTTTAACGCGATCAGGTTCTTCCAAGGCATGGCAAACACGAACAGATTTCCGGTCAGTACAGAGACCATACCTTGAAGGGCAAAATGCCAGTCATCAACCGTCAGATGGGAATATAAAGGGGACACTTGAACAGCCGCGAACCCAACCGCAAGAACTAAGGTCAGTACTGCAAAAGACAGTCTTATCTTGCATATTGTCTTTGCTTGTTTAATCACCAGCATAGCAGTCGTTGCCAAATTTAGGAAAGCCATGGTTATTTGGAATGAACCGTAGCTTGCACCCGCGGCTAAGCCGAAGTTGAACACGATTTCATAACAGAACACCCGTACGGTTCCATTCCTTGCTTCTGGGCTGTTGCAATCAACTGCTACCCTCGAGAAGTTCTTAATCGTCTCCCAGTTCCATATCATGTGCTTAAAGCAATCCATGTCCTTATTATCGGGCTCGCACTTGAAGCTTACCTCAAGAAGTAGCAGTGTATAAAATAATAGCACTACACCGCCAAACATCAGCAGGAACAAAGCGAACAAGCTCCAGGTAACCCTGGACAAGATCTTCTCCTCGTCTGTGAGGTCGATGTCTTTAAACGACCATCTCTTCACTCCAAGATCATCAGCTTTCGCCTGGATGACGCGGTAGAATGCATAGGTCGCTACCCAACGCCGAAGTTGTTTCAGCTTATAGCCCACCATGAGGAGAATCATGAACGGGCCATAAGCTGTCACCAAGGCTGGTAATGCGGCGATAACCACGTACCAACCTTCCTTCATCGTTCTATGATGAACTGTTTACGAACGGCGTAATTCAGACACCTTGGCGATTGCTTTCTCTACCTGTTAGTGTCTTAGTCCAGTGAGCTGTGACCACTCTTTAACCTTGCGTACTAATGAAGTGATGCGGAAGCGATGGGCAAAAGTAAGGGGCTTTTTTACCTCGGTAGCTTTATTGACTCCAGAATTAGTTACTATGATCATTCCCATTTATAACGTTTTTTTTTTGGTTTAAAAGCGGAAGCCATCACTCATTTACGACTCACAACGCACTTACAGTCAAACCACGTGAGGGGCATCCTAGCTTAAGATTACATTAAGAATTGATTATTTGAATATTGAAACCACTAGTCACTTGAAGAATGCAATAATGAATTGATTATTTGAATATTGAAACCGCTAATCACTTGAAGAATGCAATAATGAATTGATATTTTTGAATATATATTGAACCCGTTCGCCATATTCTTAAAACGACTAGCGGGTTCAATACTCAAATGATCAATTCATTATTGTACTCTTGAAATTAACGTCTAGCAAGGTCAACATTCAAATAATCAATTCATTAATGTAATCTTGAGGGGTACGCTTCACTTGGTTTGAATGTAACTTTCATTATACCTTAAGCAAAGGAACAGACACGTTATGAGTAAGTTAATATCTAACCGACCAATCCTGAAGTCTCACAACTTGTCTACATATAACCAAAGTGATTGAGCCATGGCGGTGATCGTTCTCTCCACTTCCTCTATCCTCTCCCTCTTACAGATGGACTGTTTTGGCGCAATTGTAATAACTAAACGGCTCGAGTTTTTAACAGGTCAGAATATAGAGCTGGCATTTCAACATTAAAAAAAATTCCAACGTAGTTGTCTGTTATCTGACGTTCGAACATAATTTTGGCAAAGATTCTAGAATACAGTCGAACCTCTAATACGGACACCGAAGTAAGGTACAAAGCGAAGTGTCCTTATCAGAGAGGGGTCCCTATTGTAGAGGTCACTATGATTACATAACTTTTAAGTCAGCACTAACAGTTTAGAGTGTTTATTAACCAAAATAAGGCCCAAAAGTCAGTGTCTTGTGAATTTCTGAATCCAACTTGATTAACTTTATTGTACATCTCAGTTACATGCTGTACATACCAATTTTGGAACAAAACGAAATAGTGCACCTAGGAACCACACCGTATTATAGTTTACAGGTGCAGCGAACAGTAACTAGAGTAACATAAAAAACCTTCCTGCTGTAGAAATATAAGAATTGAAAAAGTCTGTAATGACAGGAAATGGTGCATACCCTAAATTATCGACACCTGGACCCTGGAGTGTCCGTAATAAAGAGATTAAATTTGTATGAATTTGCCCCCTATAGGGCCGAGATTTAATGTCCGTTGTCCGTTTTAGAGAGGGTCCGTGTGATAGACGTTTTTTTTTTTCAGAGGAAATGTAAGAGAATTTTGTCGGTACATAGGAAACTGTCCGTATTAGAGAGGTGTCCGTATGGAGAGGTTTGACTGTACCAGGGTTTGGCGATTTATATTTTACAAGGGCTGTCTTCTCTCCCACTAGCAGACACTCACTTTAAAGGCGCTACGTCACGCATGTTTGCACTTTTTTTAAAAGGTTAGCCTCACACGTACTCTGACCTTAAAGAGAAAAGTTACTCTTTATTTTTTGTTTAATAATACACGAAATTATTTTTTTAGGATTCCCATCCTTATTATCCTAAATTACGCGTCTTCATTTTCTGTGAGCAAAAGTCAACTCGGCTGCGCCTTAGTTCCACAGTTAGGAAGCAAACTCGGACACGCGGTCTAAATGTTAAATAAAACTCAACTTGGTAAATTGAATTCTAGTTTCAGAGTGGTTTGTAGTCAAGCCTCCACACGTCCAACGGCATCCGGTCCCTAGCATAAAACCGACAGCCTTTTTCGTACCAACCGCTGAAACATGCGTTCACTTAGTGTTGTTAACAAAATCGGCCACATCCTCATAACAGGAGCGGCCAGTGAAACAGATAGCCAAGTCCCATGCAATATCCACCAAATTCAGTAAAAGTGAAGCCTTGGAGCCGACTGGCTTATAGCTGCCGGAAGTTATCCCGGTTTCTATAGCATGAAGCGATAAGGGGTATTTGTACACTTCCTGGATGGGATGCTAGTCCATCGCAGGTCACTCCCTCACCCGCAATTTGCTAGGTTTCCCCAACAATTCGCCGGTACCCATTTATTTATGCTCCTGGGTGGAGAGAGGTACTGTGAGAGTTACGTGTCTTGCCCAAGAACACAACATAGTGTCCCCGGCCAGGGCTCGAACCCGGACCGCTCGATCTGGGGACGAGGGCACTAACCATGAGGCCACCGCGCCTCCACAAAAATCGCAGGTTAAATTCTGGGTGAATACCTCACTTGGAAGACCATCGATGGCTGGCGCCGACGTGTAGCCTCCGTTTGAGCGCTTATGGGATGATTTGGGAAAATGATAGGGACAGGACTCTGCTGAGACGAAGACTTGATGCGATAATTTCAGGAGGTATTCCATGGTGAGAGAAGATAGCAGATACAAAAACAACAGTGAACATGTGAAACCGAAAGAAGACATTTGGAGAACAATCCTTTCTTGAGAGAGTCGTGTAGACTCCATACATTCCTCCGTAATTCGCCACAAGACAGCGGAAGAGTTTTGATTCTAGATATCATCTTCGCTGGAACTCATCACTAGTAGCGTTTCTTAGCTTTCAGCGTTCCGTCCCGTCACATTTGGAAATTGTGCCCTCCCTCCTCACCCTATAAATGAATAGCCCCAAGAAGTGCTAGGCAAGTGCACAGATATTCTCGGTCCCAGCCATGCCTCTTTTTCAAAGTGAACCGTTGACCATCGCAAGTCGAATTTCCTTTCGCCCCTCCTTCCAAGCGTGGCCTGATGTATGACCCTCTATATTGAAATTGAGGGGAGGCGCAGTGGCCTCATGGTTTGTGCGCTCTTCTCCGGATCGAGCGGTCCGGGTTCGAAGCCTGGCCGGAGACATTGTGTTGTGTTCTTGGGCAAGACACTTAACTCTCACAGTGCCTCTCTCCACCCAGGTGTACAAATAGGGTACCGACGAACTTAAGAAACAGTTAAATGTTGATTTCACAAGAATGCGTGACCGCAGAGATGTTCATTTCACTTAAAAAACAGTTTAATGCTGATTTCACATCAACGCAAAAGCTCAAAGATTTTGATTTCACTTTAAAACACG